CGGGGAGGAGGGAGAGGCAACCACGTGGAGGGAGAGGGGACGGCGGGGAGGAGGGAGAGGCGACGGCGGGGATGAAGGAGCGGCGACAGCGGGGAGGATGGAGCGGCGACGGCGGGGAGGAGGGAGAGGCGACGGCGGGGAGGAGGGAGAGGCGACGACGGGGAGGAGGGAGAGGCGATGGCGGGGAGGAGGGAGAGGCGACGACGGGGAGGAGGGAGAGGCGACGACGGGGAGGAGGGAGAGGCACGACCCTCAGCATCAAAGGTAAGGACACTGGGGGTAGCCATGACAGCAGTGGTCTAGCAGGGAGTGCTCTCACCAGTCCGTGTGGGTAGGGCCGGGGCGCGCCGGTAGGAATAGGGCTGTAACCGCGGTGGCAGCGGCTCGGTAGTGGCGGCTCGACGGCGGCCTCGGCGGCCCGGTGGCTCGGCGGCTCGGCGGTTCAGCGGCTCGGCGGCTCGGTAGCTCGACGGCTCGGCTGCTTGGCGGCTCGGCGGCTCAGCGGTGAAGGGGCCGTGAAGGGCGGCGACGGGGCCGCTAGAGGCGGCGACGGGGCCGCGAAGGGCGGCGACGGGGCCGCTAGAGGCGGCAACGGGGCCGCGAAGGGCGGCGACAGGGCCGCGAAGAGCGGCGACGGGGCCGCTAGGGGCGGCGACGGGGCCGCGAAGGGCGGCGTCGGGGCCGCGAAGGGCGGCGACGGGGCCACTAGGGGCGGCGACGGGGCCGCTAGGGGCGGCGACGGGGCCGCTAGGGGCGGCGACGGGGCCGCTAGGGGCGGCGACGGGGCCGATAGGGGCGGCGACGGGGCCGCAAAGGGGCCGCTAGGGGCCTCGAAGGGCGGTGACGGGGCCGCTAGGGGCGGCGACGGGGCCGCGAAGGGGCCGCGAGGGGCGGCGACGGGGCCGCAAAGGACGGCGACGGGGCCGCAAGGGGTGGCAACAGGGCCGCTAAGGGTGGCGCGAGGGGCCGTGAGAGGGGCCTCTAGGAGGGCGCGACAGGCCGCTAAGGGCAGGGGACGCGACGTGAGGGCGGCCCACGGGGCGCGCCTCGGGCAGGGGCGACTCGCGCTTCTGTCAGAAAAAAAAAAGTCGATTTTAATGGTGGGCCCTGAGAAGCATTCCCACTAGGGAACCTGCTCTATACCATGTGAAGAAATGAAGAATGGATGAACTAGCAAGCAAGTGGGTACAAGTAGGAAAACCTAAAAGTGTTGTACCCCATATTGTCTACCCAACTACAGCCTACACAGACTATAGCATATGAGTTTAACAGTCTCAAACGATTTTTTGCGGAAAAGGTAACCAGAAAAATGTTCGGACGGAGGCCCGTCTGGCGAAAGTAAAACATAAAGTACGCCTTAATGTCCCAAAGGCCGATGTCCAACTATTAATTAGCAACGGGAAGGAGCATGCTAACAACTCATTTGTGAACCTAGGGCAGGGGGTGGAGAAGGGATGTGTAGGGGAGGAGGGGCCTCGTAGGGCAAAACGTCGTCAACAAAGAAGTTGCTTAAATTCTTATGTATTCGCAAAGCACTTCCGAGGACATTCATTCCATGTAGTACTCATAGTGTGAACCGATGGGCTGAATTCCTCTTCGCCACGTAAGGGTTTCGGTGTCGCGAGTCCAGTGTGAGTACTTGGAACTCTGAGGGAGTGTATGGACTTCGAAATATTTTGCAACTGCAGCCATAACATCAAAACTCGAGATTTCCTTCATACCTAAGTAGATTGAATGTGGGAGCTACGGGGATGATGAGAGCGGGAGGAGAAGAGTGGCTACTTGGCACACTCGCAGGGTTACTTGTACTCCTGATCCGGGAAATCATGAAAAGGACCCAGACCAGCCCTAACGGATCCGAACTGATACCCCAATGTCTCAAAATCAGCCCGTAAGAAAAACGGGCTCCCTTCGAAACCAGTCCTTTGAAACGCAGAAGCTGGCAGGAGTTCGCCCGGAATGTTCAGGGCATTAAGGGCAAATGCCCTTGAATCGACAGCTCTCTTGATGCTGTTGACGTTCGCATCGCGACTCGCGAGCGACTGCGCGCACCTAAACAAATCTACCCCCACACATCGGCCAGTTTGAAATGAAAGGCATTTGCGAACGCACAGATTTTCGTATTGGGTCGATGGAATTCGCCAATCCTCGTCGGGAGAAACGAGAAAGGGGTTACCGTCCCACGAACCTGTTCCTGCGTGCGACGGAGCAGCACATCAGATTGCAGCAATAGAACCTTCGCGAAGCCGATCTGTGCATCTTTTTGCACAGTAGCTCGCAAACCATGGCCTGGCCGCCTGGCATGGCGGCGCGACTACACTACCAACACTTGGGTTCGTCCTGATACACAAGCTGAGGAGCTCTCACCCAGCCGGACCTGTTCCCTATGGAGCTCCTCTCGTTCTTTCCGTCTTTTTCCCAAGATTCGCCACGCTGTCAGTTCTCGACCAATCTTCCATCATTCCTATGCCTTCTAGTTCCTTCTTTTCCAGACACAGTAGCCAATGAGAGCTCTCAGCCCTCCCATGACATTTTCCCCGACCACTGTACTGTATCTCAGCCTTGTAGATATTTCTCCGCCGTGAGCCACATCTTGCAGTCCGCCTCAAAAATATCAACCATGTGTGTCAGCGTCACACGCGCTTCCATGTCGTTAACTCACGATTTCGCGATCCCAGGCGATGCTGTCGCCCTACTGATTCATTTGGTAGCCAGCCAAACCCAAGTTCTCCATTGTCTGTCCTGCAAATCACTCTACTCAGCAGCAGAGAGCCTAACCTTCCGCAGATACAAACCGCAGCGACTCTCTATGGTAGTACCGACCGCCCCTTGATTGGTTCCTAGCTGGAATATACATAAGGCCATTTACTCGAGTAGCCGCCATGGGTTGTGTTCGTACCACAAGGCTCCGCAGACCTCACACCGCTGAACCGTACACGACTCCTCCATCTCCACAACGGGCCTCCCGCCAACCATTCCAAACCGTTTCCACCGAGCCTGATAGGTTCGGCATTGAATGGGAGATTCTCGACAACATCGCGCCAGCGTTTTCCAGTCCCGTGTGGATAGTAACGGAAACCGTCGACGCTTACGTTTTCTGCGTGGAGCAAAGAGGTTTCCCGCTGCAGCGCGTCCAAGTTCTGCTGGACAGACGCGAATGCCAAGAGTCTGGCAAAAACAGCTGCGAGGACGAAGATACTGACTGTCGCGAAACATCATGCGACCAGAGCAGTGACTCGTCGCAGCAATCATCAAGAAATCGTTTCAATCTCAGCAGCATTGATACTAGCCGCTGCGGTAGCATAACCGCACCGCTTCTTACCATCTTGTGTGGATTCCATGCGACGTCGCATGCTGCCTCCGAGGGAAGCGTATTCCATCAAATGACCGGCAGGCGGTTCAAACTGCCGCCTGACGCTGTCGCAGAGGACACGACGGCCATGCAGACTGCGACAGGATCGTTGGTGGTCGCCGTCCCTCGCTCTTCGTCAATAAACAACGGCTCGTCATCCAATACAGCTCCTTCTAATCATCCTTCTGGAAATTTCTCTCGGCCAAGATATGGCCAGTGGACCGTGCACGTGGCAACAGCAGCATCATCAGCAGCAGCCTCTTCATCAGAAAGGCAGTACGAACCTTCTGCTGACTCGTTTCAGCATTTCAATCTGGAGTTGCTTCAAGAGTTGAGGGTCTGTAAGTGTTGATGCAGATTGACTGCATGTATTGCTGGAAAGCATCAGCCTGTACAGCTTATTGCCTCCTCTTTATACTGAATAATGGAAACAAGTATATCTGAAGTTCCATTCTAACATCTCACATGCTGCATACCAGTACTGTGCACATGCTCCTTTCAGATAAACTAGCTAACTACCTGGAGTTAAGGTCACGAAGCAAATAAATTAATCTACACATGCCAATAAAACAGGTCATTTGGCTTTATGAAGGCAACAATTTCCAATCGCGATGTCTTCCATACTGTGCAGTTGCTGCTCTTGCCGATGCCATACTGACCGATAAGCCAACGACACATAGTGAGGTAAGCATGTTGGATGGCGCTGACAGTGCCAGGCTCCATGTTACTGGATGGTGTTGCTCCGCACACCCTCTAGATAGATACAAACAAACGACAATCACCAAACAGACCACACAGGAAAGAGGAACGGGTACGAAGAAGGTTAAGCCTGAAGCAACTGTTTCCTCTGGGCAGTTGAAGCTTAGTCAACCAGGGCTTGATCAGCGGATGTTTCAGCTGCCAGGAGCAAGGAACAGCCATCAGAGTAACTATGACAAAAGGCCATCACGAGCAGCACAAACAGCTGCTTAGGCTACAATAGGGTCATCACGTGGCTGCTATCGCTCACACCAAGAAGACAGCATAACTGACATAAAGATTACACACCCAAAGACTCCACCGCACAGAGTTACAAACGATATGGGAAAATCGTAGATAGCAAAGATACACTCAGCAGTGTACGACAGGTCGAAAAGGCTACACCTTTAAAAGCAGTTAGCTTATGGGCAGCTATTAATCGTCCTATCTCCCCACCCGCACCCATGTCCATCACTTATAGTTACCTTTCCAAAATCCTTCTCATCTATTGTTCCGCATGCTTCCGCTGTTACCAACCACCAAAAAGAGTTGACTTCTGAGTCATCTCAAGAGTCAGTTGTTCCGCATGCTTCCACTGTTACCAACCAGCAAGGCCAGGCCTGCTGGCATGGCAGCTTCATTCTGCTCATCACCAAACAAACCCATCTAATAGCCTCTGTTCACTACCACAAAACCCAACTAAACGCTCCTATATTCTAATTTTTAACCTGCAAGCTCAAACACACCTCAATTGCATCACTCGGAATCCACCATTCCCCAAACGTCATCCAGATTACCTCGCCGCTTAACTCTACCACCCATTCTTCCCAACACCCTCAACCATCACAATACACCCATCCCACCCTCACCTGAATCGCCCGCGGCACTGGAACCACCTCAACCATCGCCATCACCGCTTGTTCTCGGCGCAGTGCTGCCGCAGGATCTGCAGCAGCGTCTTGGCCTCCGAGTTCTCGGCACTCGTCTGCGACACGCGCACCAGCGACGGCAGCACGCCCTCCGCGAGCAAGTCCCCGTACGTCACAAACCCCATGGCCGCCAGCTGTAGCAGCACCGACGCCGCATCCTCCTTCACCCGCGCTGATGACCCCTCATCAAGTAGATCCACAAACATGGTCAGCCCGTCGCACTCCACCACCGACTGGCACCCTTCGGGGAACCGGGCCAGGTTGGATAGGACCGCCGTGGCTTTCTCTTCCAAGCCTGGCGGGGGAGGGTCGGCGGAGTCCCCCGAGCCACACATGCCTAGCAGGACCTCGACAGCTCCGGCTTTAAGGATATCCCGGGCGCAGCGCACCTGGGTGGAGAGAGTGAAGAGAGCCAGAGCTGCGTCTTTCTTTGCCCGCACCGTGCCAGTTTTGAGGAGCGAGATGAGTGCAGGGATGGCCCCTGATGCTCGGACCATCAGCTTGTGGTCGTCTTCTTTGGAGAGGGCAAACAGGGTGGCGGCAGCATTGCCTTGCGAGGCCGACGTGCCGTGATTGAGCATGCCCACCAGGGCTGGTATTCCACCCGCTCGCACAATCTCCCCTGATGCGTTCCAGTGGAGGGATAGGTTCATGAGAGCAGCAACAGCGTGCTCTGCTGCTTCTAAGTCGTCAGATTCGATTACTTCCACTAGCGGCTCGATCCCCCCTAGTTGCACCAGCTGTGCTTTGTTTTCCGGGCAGCCCTTGATGGCAGTTCGGATGTCTCGCACAGCTGCCCGCCGGTCCACACCTGACCCGAAATTCAGTGCCTCAACCATCGGGCCCATGTCCCGCCGGACGGGTGCGCCGCCCGGGTCATCATTGCTGCCGCCCGGCATGCTCATCATGCTGCACGTGCTGCGCGCGCTGCTGTTTCTCTGCAGCCGCGGCACACCAGGAGCGCCGCCCCCGCCTGTAGCAGAAGGCCCCTGGGGCGGCTGGGGGGGGTACTGAGGGGGAGGGGTCATGGGGGGAGTGGCATGACCATACCCCATGTCTACATCTTGCATTGCCGGGTTGGTGGTTGATTTTCTGAAAGCCCTACCAGCCGATGATGTACTCTCAACGTCCACATCGTGCAAGTGGGGCGACGGGTTGGTCGGCGACTTTCGGAACGTTCTGCCGGCCGACATGGCCTCGATATCCGCCTGCCACTGCGGGATGGATGACGTCAGCCGCTCCAAACCCTGCCCTTGCCCCCCACCGTATCCGCCCCCGCCCCCGCCCCCGCCGCCGCCGCCGCCGCCGCCGCCGCCGCCAGCAGCAGCAGCAGCGCCAGCAGCGTTTTTCAGCACGCCTTTCCGGAGCCCCTTAGGCCTGCCCGCGGTGCTTCCGCTGGGTGCCATCCCCGACCCCGCGCCCCTCCACGGCTCCCCCCCGCCCCCGCCCCCCTGCCCGTAGTCCCCGCCGAACGCGGCGCCCGAGGTCCTAGGCCGCTCGTCTCCCGGATTCGCGGCGAACTGCCGCCTGCCGCCGCTTGCGCTGCTCGCGCCGCCCATACTGCTGCCATCAGTAGAGTCCATACCGAAGTGCCGTCGTCCCCCCGTGCTGCTCCCACTGCTGTTGCTGCTAATGCTAGGCACCCGCCCGTGCCCCACCGACCCTGGCCGCTGCGGCAGCGGGGACATGCTCGCGCCTGCCCCGCCTCCGCCTCCCCCCGCCAAAGTTCTCCCCGCTGGTGCCAGGTGCTCCCCGTGCCCGCCGTATTCCTCGTCCCCCCGTCCCCCTCCCCCACCTGCCGCCCTATCCGCATCCCTCTCAGATTTTTTCACCTTCCTGCCCGTTTCCGAATGGGACCGCATCTTAGCGCTGCTGCGCAGCGACGGCGGCGCCGCCTCATCCGCGTCGCCCGACGACGGCCCCTCGGCGGGCATCCTTAGCCCCGCGCCGCCTCTAACCCCATCCGATCCTATCTCCGATAGTAGCTTATCCCGCTGCTTCCTTGTCATCTTCATACTCCTCCCCTTCATCAGATCTGATACCTTCCCGGGACCTCCACCCCCGCCGCCGCCCCCGCCGCCACGGCCTAACTTGAGCGCGGACATTCCGGCGGAAAGTTTCCCCCCTACGTCATCGTCATCGTCGGCGGGAGATCCGAACCCGTCCTCACCGCGCGGAAAGTACGATAAATGCCGCTGCAAACCTCCTGCCTTCTTAGGCTTGCTGCTCTGCGACGCTATAGAATCCCATACGGCTTTAATATCCGTCGGTCCGTCCCCTCCCTGACCATCCCCACCCATCGCCGCCACTTTCTTCGACAGGTTCGACGGCAGCGGGCTGACGGACCTCGCCCGAGCCTTGGCGTCCGAACCACTTCCCGAGCCTGAAGCCTTGCGCCCCCTCTCCTCCCCGCCATCCGCACTCTTCTTCTTAACCACTTTTTTCTTCCGCACTACCCCATCGGAAGAACGTTCGAAGTCCTGATCGTCTGGACCGCGCTCCGACTGAGACTGCGCCAACAGCGAAGGAGGAGGTGGTGTTTTCGGCCGCAACTGGCTGGTTTTCGAGGAGCTTTTCACCACGGTTTTTTTCGCTGGGGCAGTGCTGGGTCGGGCAGCTGAAGAGTGGCTGCCCGAACCTTGTGCCATCCAATCAGAGATCATGCTTTTTAGGGCAAAGTTCGGGCAGAAGTTTGTATGGTCAATCCGCACGCCGGACTTGGGACACGTCCGCTTACCCTCCGCGAACCACCGCTCGATAGAAGCACGCTCGTACGTCTGGCCTGATGCGATTATGACGGGGTCAGTCATGACGGTTAACGAAAGCGGACACATAAACTCCTCTGGTATTGTCGGACCGTTAGACTCCGCCTTCTTACCACCGCTGCTGCTGCTACCGCCGCTCTCTTTCTTTTTTCTCGTCGGCTTCGCTTCCCGTTCCTTCGACGGTCTCCGCCGCTCCTGCTCCCCTACATGGTTATCCTCCTCCCACGCCTGATCCTCATGCCGATGCTGACGCCGCTGCTGCCGTTGCTGCCTATCTACAGTGTTTTCCCGCTCCCAATTGGACGCTCGGGGTTCGTCGTTCCATCCGTTGCCGTGGTTGTCTTGATAATCATCGTCGGGATGGTAATGATCCGACGATTGCGACGCTCTCTCCCAGCTGTTACAGGTTGCTGGATCCATGATACGCGCGAACAGCTAGGGTTCTGGTCTGAAAGGGAAAAAAGGGAAATTGATTTGTCGAGAACAAAAACAGAAGGAAGGCTGGTGACATAATCGTGATTTTTCTCAAATCGAGTTCATACACTTGAGCAGGAAAAAAAACAGGCCCACGTTGTGTCTATTGCTTCCGCAAAGTGGTGATCCATAAGGAGAGGCGGGAAGGAAAGGAAACGAGGCAGGAAAAGTCCTGGTAAAGCTCCAATTCACATGCAACCATAATGCAAAATACAAACTGAAATGCGAGAAAACGCCGACTAATGCTAGAGGTATATCGAAAATCGGCTAAGCTGATGGAGAGAAATGAATGACTTCTGACAATGGGGAGAGTGAAACTGGACAAAGCTTACATGCTTACGTCGTGAAGGCGCAGTGACCCCCTGATAAGGCTCTGGACCAGCGGAACCGATATATCTACTGGTAACTACGAGTATGGCACTAAAACACTAACAAGATCAGCCTTGGCTTGCTTAATAAAATCTCTGCTCGGATCGTTGTCTAAGACCTAATAGTTACTTGCTAACACAATCGCTATCCACAAAACCGAGTCCTTGGCAACGTCTTCGGCACCACCTAACTACCGGCATTCACGGTATTACGGCCATACTATCGCAATCCTATTTCACAGCACATACGCTTCCGGCGGAACATTCTGGACGACAACGAAGGAACCAGCTACGAAGGACGACGACAAGGAGAACGCAAAAATCGTAAGATTTCCGCCTTGCTGTCAGGAGTTCTTAGGGTTACGAAATAGAGAAGGGACTGAGAGCTTGCTAATGTGCTAAATGCCACTGGCTGATGTCATGACGGATCCTTTCTCTTGGACTGCCGATAAGGGAGGTGCTGCTTCTGAGTCGCGGTACTTGAGATTCTAAAAGCGGAGGTTAATGTGATTGTTAGGAGGAGTTGACAAATGTTAGCGTGACAGTTTTAAGCGTCGTGTGGTAACCCGCCTTGCGGAGGGATGCGATGAGTCGGATGGATGAGCGGACGAGATTCGCAGAGATTGGCTGCTGCAGTTCCAGTTGCAGGTTGGTGGTTTGGTGGGGTTGGGCTGGATGGGAAACCTTTAGATGTTGGGAGAAATGCGGGCAGAGGATTATGGGCAGATGGGAAGCGTTGTATTGGTCCTAAGTAAGGTTGCGAGCGGGCATGGTGAGTGTAGGGCAAATAATTGGTGGCTGAGAGCAAGTCGGGCATGGCGGGAGAGTAAACGGACAGATAAAGGATTGGACCTTTTAGGAGGTTGGTGGGGACGACTGTGAAAAGCATAACTCGAGAATTTCTGAACCCACGAGATATCACGCATTCCACGACAGCATCGAGTGTAGTGAATGTGCTTGTTTCAAGAATGTCTAAACTGTTCCAGTTCATTCATATAATAATCAATCCTTGCACATGGACATGACCAACACGGATCCTCAACCAGCTCCAACGCCAGTCTGGCAATGCATGGACATCCTCCACACCTGACTGGACCTTCTGGATCCATTCAGGAAAGGGGAAGCCAAAAAAATGGTGGTATGCTTGTACTTCAGCCATTGGAGACGCATCCTTCTAAGAAATACCCGATCTGCTAGATATCCCAATCAGTAGCTGGCCAATGTCTGGCTGACATTGACACGGCCAGGTGACGCATTCTTGTTGAACTTGGACCACTTGAAGTCCTCGTACTTCTTCCCCACCCCAATCAGCCCAAGAGCGCTCTCAGCCGGCGAGTTATCCGTCTCCTTCACTCCAATATCGGTCGACTTAAACCCCTTGGCCGGCCCATCCACAGCAACCAACTCGCCATCATACGACAAGAATTGAATCACTGTGGCATCGCCGTTTGCCGGCTGGGAAACAAGTGCCATGCCATCTGACGGGCCGTTCTGCAGCCCCCCTTGAGCGTACGTGTTGCCATACACCACGAAGCCGTTAACGTTGGTGGGAGGAAGGTTGAACTTGGAGAGAGGAAGCTTCCCGTAGCTTTTGCCATTGGCTCCGTTGTAGAGGTAGATGGTGAGGGTGGAGGGGTCCACGCCTGGACTTACTACCACCTCAATGAACTGCATTAGACGGGGGAAATGAAGGGGGACGGGGGAAAATGAAGGCAAGGGTGGCAATAAACATTGAGGAACGTTGCGATGGCGTAGGATCTAATGCATATGTTACCGGATTAGGCGGGGATGTGGGGTCAGAGGCAGGTTGGGTTGAAGGGAGAGAGCAGGGTGATGAGGAGAGAGGGGGGCTACAGGTGAAAAGTGAAAGAACAGAAGATTTGAGTGGAAAGAAAAACTGGGTGGCACAGCTAAGAGAAATAGCGGGATGGAGCTAGGCATACAGCTCTGCCAAGTCTAACTGCTGCAAAGTGGGTAGGGAGGAGGACGATCGAAGAGATGCCTGTAAACGATTTATTTCTCCCTCATTGCCTCCATCCCCTACTCCCAAATCACCCATTCTCTACCTTTCCCTCTGTCCCCCGCACAATTCCCAACCATATTCCTCCATCTTGACTCCACCACCCACCTCGTTCTTATCCGGCCCTTCATTGCTGTAGTGAATCTCATTAAACCAAGCCTTTGCCTGCAAACCAGGCACGCGTGGAGCAGCCACCCCGCTAGCCCCTCCTGCTGCTGCTCCCAAGCCTCCCCCCACTGGCGGTGCTGCTCCGGGCAAGCTGAATCCGCTTCCCGAGCCTACGCCCAGGTCTGCCCCCGAGCCTACAGCCGGTGCCGAGGCTGGCCCGGCGGTCCAGATAAGGGAGACGAACTCGGGGTGGTCAACGAAGGGGTTGCGATTGTGCTGGTAGAGGGAGCACACGCGGGCATTGCGCGTGGTCTCAAGGGATGAAGGTGGATCGATGGCATGCCACTTGAGCAGAGGTGAGAGTAGCCCCATCTGACCCTCGGCTGGAGGGAGTCGGATGCAAGCGAAGTAGGGAGGGGTAGAGAACGGTGGTGGGTTGGTTAGAGTGCGGGTCGATGGCATGCCACTTGAGGAGAGGTGGAGGGAGTCGGATGCCACGGAGGGAGGGGTGGAAGGGTGGGAGGAAAGGGTAGAGGGAAGGGAAGAGGAAGGAGTAGTGGGTGTGGAATCGGGAGGGAAAGAGAGAATGGCATGTAAGACGAGGGGTGAGCAGCCCATTTTGGGCTTCAGCTGGCGGGGGGAAGCAGACAGAGGCGTGTGATTTGTGCAGAACAAAGAGATTAAGGAGAAACATCACCATGGCATACCGATTTTGGGGTTGTCTGAGAGCTCGAGGTCCAGCTCGCCTGGCACAGAGCCATCGTATCTCACAGCCATGTAGAGCAGCGCACGTGCTATGTCTCCCCGCACCTGTTTCAGAAATGCACAGGCACAGGGATTACACGAGGCGGTCAGTGTGACAGTGCCAGGCAAGTGTGGCAATTGATATCGTAAACATTGGAGTGCTATAGCGAGGCAGTTTTGGTATGCGTACCGACAGACGGAATTCATGAGGTGGTTGGACCGACAAAGCGACGAGAAATCATTGCGGTTAATTCTGAGAGGGTGTGTATGATGACACGTCAATGCCTTTGTGTGTGCTCACAAGGAAAGTATGAGTGCATACGGAAAGGCAGCACGAGAGCAAGAAAAGAAGACAGGAAGTAAGAAAGCAAGAGGCAAGAACACTAGCACGCACCTCAGTGGGGGGAGTCCAGACGTCCTTGTTGGTGGCGGTGTCTGCTGCTGCCTCCCTGTTGGCCGGCACCATACAGGTACCGTCAGTGGACGTGCATTCACCGTACCACTTGTTGCCTCTGGCGGAGTTCACTGTTTGTGACATGACAACAACAAGGGGAAATCTCGTGATATGAATATACGAAGCAGAGGATAAGGTGTGAAAGATAGTCAGTACAGTCCCTTTTCAATTCCAGCAAAAATGTTGTTAACATCGCCTCACTGTTCCAAATCCGCTACCAGTCCAGCCCAGCACATCATCAAGCGTACCATTGACATCAGCGGGTCTCAGGTTGTGAAGGTCGGAGAACTCAGGGCGGCCCTGAGTGAGGCCGTAGGAGCGCGGCCACAGATGCTCCCCTGGTGGATGGGTGGAAGGGAGACAGCAATTTCAGTGCAATTCATACAAATTCCACAACTCATTGCGACCAGTAAAATCACAGCTCTAACAGCAATCAGAACAATCGTTGCTATCAGTTGGCACTCACTGTTCCAGCCTTCAGGCGTGGCCTGTGTGTCCTTGGGCACTGCCCTACGCGTGTAGATCTCCACACTGGCCATGGGAACACACAGGGGGGGAACCAGAAATAGTGAGCAGCGGTGAGGAAGAGGGGGGAAGGAAAACGAGGAAGAGAGGGACCATTTGACTGCGGAAAGTGTGCAATTGTGGATTACTCGTGGTAGGCCCACTCACGGACAGTGAGGAAGGGAGGAACCACCACTTAATTGTGCAAAGTGTGAGAATCTGTGGATTACTTGTGGTAGAGCCACTCACACGTCACGGGATTTAGCAGGATCTGATTGGTCCGCTGCATCAAGAATCTTCAGAGCATCCCATGCCTGCCATGAGTTCAGATATCGTGGGAGGGAGGGGGTTCTGAAATTAGTGAGAGTGTCCAGTCTTCTTGCACGACATTGACTAATTCGTGGAGTGTGATGTTGAAAAGAAACGAGGGAGCTGATAGAGGTGCTACAGCCATCCTTTGCTGCCCAGTGAGTAATTACCCGTGGCTGACAGCCTCTTAGCACAAATAAATTCCTTCAATCTACCTCCTCAGGTGATCCATTACTCTCAGAGCTACCTACCTCGGTGTAGGTGTACACTTTATGACCCTTTATAATGTCGTGCAGCTTCGCCTTTAGCGCCTCTCCCTTCAGCCCCTGCGTGCCTGCATAGTACTGCTCCACGTCTTCGCACGGGAACTTCGTGGAAGCTGCTTCGGCTGACCATGGTGCGAAGCAAGCGGCTGCTGTGGGCGTGAGAGTGATGAGGGTTGCCAGCAGAGCTGCTGTCGCCTTGGATGCAGCTGGGGAAGAAGACAGAAAGGGAGGGTTTTGTGGGTGTGAGGAGCGAAAGCAGGCGAGAAGGCAGGGTCGTAAGTAACCGTTGTCACGTTTTCGTTTTTTATCAACATTTCCATGTTGGTTCCGCTTCCACTTTGACAACTCGTGAACCGTTACCTCAGGTAATGGAATACCGAAACGACCAATGGTCTCGATTCCAGCATTCCAGCCAGACCAACAAGCATTGCTAGTCAAACGCCTGGACAAAACGCAGAATCATGACCGAATTCAGGGTGAAGTCGATAGATTCCTGGCCAGACGTCACCGATTCAAGAGAAGGCGGGCGACAGATAGCTTGCAACGATCCGTGAATTGCCGTACCTTTCTGGCCAAACGTCAAAGTTTCCTGCAGAGACTCCAGCCGTCCATTGCCATGTCTACCTCGTTCACTTCCCGTCGCGTCAGAACGAGACGACGCGGATGTGAAGCGTTGGGAGCGGCAAATAACTGGACCTGCTTGCCTGGTCCCCCGGGAAGCACCCCTGGCCGCGGTGCCTCCAGGGGTTGAGATTGTAAGTGAGCGTGCGGACGAGGAGGAGGCTGTGCTGGCCAATTGGGAGCTTCGTTGAAGGAAATCTGTCTGGGGTCGACCTCCCTGTGGGATGGAGTGGACGGAGAGTTAAGAGATAAGCGAGACGGGGTTGAGTGAGATGGGAGGGGGGTTTGCGGAAGGCACAGGTAAGATGAAGAAAAGCGCGGGTCCAGTAAGTGGGAAAGTGGCGGAAATTACGTGTACATTGGAACTCACGGCGTTCAATCCGCGAGCGCTCATCAACGAGCAGTCAGAAGCCAGCAGTGCCATTGCGAATCAGCGAATCCAACGATCCAGCTGCAGGCCGCGTGAATTCGGTGTTTGGGACAACAGACGGGGAGTAGTCAGCTGCGAACTTCAAGAATCCTGTCGATCAGCAATGGAAGGATTGATGATCAAGGATATGTATGGAGTCGCAGAGCAACTCCAACAATTTTCCAGGGAAGAGCGGATGAAATGGATGTTGGAATTCTCGAGAATGTGACACGTCATCGAGAGAATTCTGGCTTGGAAACCGTACCGAGCGTACCTCACTTCGGCTCGGCCGAACCAGCTTTGCATTACGTGTTATTCTGCTCCGTGCATCATCCCACCACCCTCGACAAACCTCATGGACCCGAGGCACTGTGATTGGCTGTATGCTCTGGCCTCCTCCTCTTATTGGACGCCTCCTCGTCGATGTGAACGTAGCCTTGATCTTGGTATCTGTGACGCAACATGGGTGGATACCAACAAACCTCACGCTCGGAAACATTTTCCTCCCTTGTTTCAGAAATGGGACTCCCGGCAGGCAAGCGACGAATAAATCCACCTCCATGACCACCACACAGATAGACGGAACAGCAAAGTACCACTCTCCGTTTCAGTTTTCTCCTCGGGAATCATAAGATAGAGCGTCACCGTTACGTTACGTCCCGTTATTGTATCGGAATGTCGACAGGCATTTCTTTAGGGACGTACCGCCAGGTTCCCTTGCAAGTTTTTCGGTGTCGCCATTCGGTGTCGCCAATATCGGCGCCGGTCTCCTACCATCCTGCGTCGAGATCGCTATTCCTTACATCTGCACCTGGAGCTCTTCGCTTGATCACAAGAACGGGAGGAAGCATTAGGTTAAGAAAACGATGCCAGGAAGGAATATTTAACAGTCGCATTTCGGGGAGCAGCGTTTGGAATATTCGCGGCCTTGCAGAGACCAACTTGGAGCAAGGAAACCAGTCTGATGTAAACCCGCCACGCACCGCCAGATCTTGCGAATCAGCTGGAATTTCTTGTAGACGAGCCTTCCTTGCAGGTGCAGCAGCACTGGCAGCAGTCCCTGTTGCAACTGAGCCATGGGGGATTAGAGGCTTCACGGAGCCTGGAGCTGCACATGCAGCGGTTCTGCCAGGGCGAGTGGGGCAAGGGCCTCTGTTGGCTGCTGTGAGCGACGATGACGAGGACACCATCGTATCTCTGTTTGAGGTGAGGGCCGCCTGTGCTATGGTCATTCCGCATACTTTGTCCGTTCCGTTGCGGTGAGGCGTGATCATCTCTTATCGTCTAGCAAATATAGGCGTGATCGTCTCATTTTTTTAAATGTCATGTCGTTTTGCATGATTCTCTTCCGTTTAGCAACTATTATTCTCCTTGCATGTCCATCTTCCCTGTTCGTTTCCCCACGTTGTGCTTCCAGAACGCAACAGCGTCAGTAGTGTCTATTATGAATGTTGAAGTGAATGGCAGCGGCAAGGGAAAGGGAGGAGCTGGAGAGGAGGTCATGGAAGGAATTGGCTCCGGATTTGTCTGGGATGAATACGGTCACATTGTAAGATACAATTATCATTGCATTGATGGTGCGCTGTAGAACACTGTCTGGGCATGTTACAGTGCAATGCCATATGATATCACACAGTACCATCGATAGTCAGGAAGTCATTGCGGTGGCTCGGTCTGGAAGGATCTATCACATTGAGATTGACAATGGTCAGGTGTATGCTGTGCATGCCTCTACATCATCTCATGCACATGGTGGTGATCTCCTTCCACCTCCATCTCGCTGACGTGGCAGGTCACCAACTACCATGTGGTTGCCAAGCTGGCGACTGACACTTCTGGGCGGCAAGCCTGCAGGGTGAGAATGGACGGAAGTGGAAGGGAGAGTAGCATTGCAAGAGGTAGAGGGTGGTGTCATTTCTGCTCAAAGAGGAGGATGCTGTAGTCATTCAAAAACTTTTCACCACCGGTGCTGTCATTGTTACCTCTCCCCTCCACTTTTGTCCCTGATTGAAGCTCCCAAACGTATTTTGCTACAATCGTCGCCTGCCTCTCCCTCTCCAGGTGTCTCTTCTCGCCCCAACAGGCGCCATGCAGACGTACGCTGCTACTCTTGTCGGCACTGACCCCTCCAGAGATCTTGCTGTACTCAAGGTGAGTTCTGGAGAATCCCTCGCCGCTTTTGCTGGTTAAGCTCAATGAATGGATGACCCCAGCGATTGACCCACTCAAAGATTCCTACCCTGGCAGCAATTTCTGTTTGAGCGCCCACATTACTTCTGATTGTGCCCTGCATTCCTGATGTTACCAGGTAGACCTATCTCAGCCTGTACCTGCAGCAGCGGATACAGGTGCAGCAGCAGACGGTGCAGTGGCGGTAGCAGCACCAGCAGCACCGATGCTGTATCCCATTCCTGTGGGCTCATCATCGGACCTGAGGGTGGGCCAGAGCTGCTTCGCCATTGGCAATCCCTATGGCCTGCAGCACACACTCACTGCTGGGGTACGCGTCTCATTTTCTAGTCGTCTCAAACTTCATTGGCCATCTCTATGGCCTGCAGCACACACGCTGGGGTATGTGGGTCCTGTCGGCTTTAGGCGAATGGTTGTGATGAAACAGGGAGATGCTGCAGATGTGAATGATACTGCCGTGGATGTCACTTGTAGGATGAAGCTGGTATGGATGACACTGGTACAGACAATACTGCTCTACGTGGCATCAGGCTACGTTGTGTACATTGTCGGTGATGATGTAGTATGGCAGGCAGTACTCCCTCATTTCATGAGGTATTAAGTGGGGTGGGTGATTGATGGGGTGGTGATACTGGGACAGAAGGTTGATGATTGGGGTGATACAGAGGGCTCAGTACATGCCTTGTGCTTTTCCCTCCAGGTCATCAGTGGGCTAGGCAGGGAGATTCCGGCACCAACGGGTGCTGCGATCAGGGGAGCGATTCAAACTGACGCTGCAATCAACGCAGGTGAGACGCTCAGTTGTGACATGCGAGGAGGTGGGGAGAGCGGGGGAAGGAAGGAGGGGATTAGAGTGGGAGGTTTCGACTACTGCTGGCATCAGCTTGACCAATTCCTGCACCGGTTTATGTGAGCGCTCTTGTGAAGCCCTACTGACTGGATTCATTTGTGTGTTCAGGTAATTCCGGTGGTCCTCTGCTCGACTCCTTTGGACGGATCATTGGAGTAAACACTGCAACTTTCACTCGATCAGGTTAGTCATGTCACAGGAGTGGATGTGAGCTTCCGGAGGACTTTGGCTGACTGTTGCAAGTGAGGCGTTTTGGCTGGTAGATGTGCACGATTCTCAACTGTGTTGTGGTTCCCGTCCCCTCCACATTGCACATTACAGGTTCTGGCTCTTCATCCGGGGTCAACTTTGCCATCCCAGTTGACATGGTCAGGAGAGTGGTGCCCCGACTTATTGTCTATGGTGCTCCTAGACCACCAGCTGTGTAGGCACTACGTATTATTTCCTTATTGAGCAGGGGCCAATCGTTGCTCCTCATATTGTATCAAAGGTGGTGATGAAGTAAGAGAGATTCTGGAATACCGTCATCGCCCGTATATAAGACAGTGTAGAGTAGTAGACAGGGGTTGTCTATTATACGGGTGTCTCTTATCAACAGGCTAGCCTTTCTATACGACACCTATTTGTGTGCACGAGATAAGACATATATGTCTTATAATCAGAACCGGGGTTTGGGGGTTTTCTTATAAACAAGGGGGTGTCTTCTAGACGAACCTTCCTTACTTTAGGGGGGTACATGCATACAAGGGGGTTTTCTTATAATCTTTACTTCTACCTGAACCCCTTCAGTCACCGCCTCCTCACCTGCACTAACAACAGGCTGTACACCCAGGGCTGGCACACGCCATGCATGCCTAGCCGTCTCCCTAGGCTCGATCATGTGGTCAGCTTCGGCCGCCGCTCCGCGGTAGTTGGGGGTCTCCTGGTACAGCACCTCCAGGCCGGTTGCCACGGCCACCTCGCGCACGCCCTCCGCCTGCATCGCCTCCTCCTCCTCCTCCGCCTCTGGAGCCTGACCGAGCAGGCGCGTGTTGTCGCCTGTGGTCCCTCCGAGGGACATGTCCGCGGAGACATCGGTGGTGCTCCTGGCGCGCAGGTGAGACATTACCATGTGGTTCTCCGTTCCGTCCATCTTGCTTGAGATCCCACAGTGGCGGAACGCGTCGATGATGATCTGCTTGGGGACTTGATCCCAAGCCTCTGCGATCCACTGCAGCACCACGGGGTGCGGAGGCCTCCGCAAGTTCTCTGCGGGTGGGACAGAGGATAGGGCAGCTAGATGTTAGAGACACGGACATGAAGGAGCATGTTTAAGACAGGACAGGAAACTGAACAGGAATAATATCGTAAATGAAGGACCAACTCACCCTTCTTCGTCTTCAGGTGAATCCGTTCACGCATGAACCACCTGGCGTAGCGCGCTCTCACAGCATCCTTGAAGCACCGGTTGATGGAGACGTCCAGGGGTTGAATCTGGCTCGTACAACCCACTGGGATGACTGCAGGGGTGATGCTGTGCGTGCGGTACGACTGAAGCATCGTCTGGGTGATGTGACCGCGGTAGGAGTCCAACACCAGCATCGCACGCCTCGCGTTCTGGCCGCGCTGGGGATTCAGATGGGGTAGCACCTCCTTGGACAGCCAGGTTTGCACAGCGCTCTCGTCCATCCACCCGTTGTCCTGTGCTTGGACCACGATTCCTGCCAGGCACATAAGGGACAGACGAGCATCAGCACAGCGGGGCACGCTCATCAGGCAGTCGCAGGGTTGAATTCATTATGCCTACCTTCCAGAATCTCACAGTTGGGGACGTTCTTCATCTTGAACCACACCCACGGCCGCAGCTTCTCCCCGGATGCAGTGCACGCGAGCATCACCGTCAAGCGCGTCTTCTGGTGGCCTGCAGTGCGGATTAGGACCGAGCGCGCGCCACGGTGCTCGATCGTCCGTTCGGCTGGCATCTCCACGAATAGTGTACTCTGGTCCGCGTTGATGATGCGGGCCAGGTCGATGTTGTGCCGCGCCCTGTTGATGCGCACGAACTTCCAGAAGGACTCGCAGTCCTTCGCGCACTCTGCAAACGGGACAAGCGCAACGGAAGCACGGGATGGTTAGACTCTGGGCGAGGTACATGCATTCAATAGCCCGCGCGCGACACGAATTCCTTCAACACGCACCTGTGGACAGACGTTGACCGACCTTGGTCTTCACCCACATCACCAGGTTCCAGCGGTAACGGAAACGTTGGCTCCAATGAGAGCTCGCGTTCCAGTTCTTGCCGGGGTGGTGTTTCTTCATCCACTCGCGGCTCCACTTCTGGGTGTCCTTCACCGAGACGGCCACCCCGTTAGCGCACTGAAGGCAGATGTAGCGGTACAACGCTGCCTCCATGCCGGGGTAGTGTGAGTGGCGCCCCCCCCCCGTACATCCGCTTGTGGCAGTTAGCCGCGCCCTTGTAGAGGCCCGCAGCCGCCTCCGCACTCCATCGTCTGATGCAGGCGATGAACACGATTGACTCCACGCTCGTCTTCTTCAAGGAGCCGAGCTCCTAATAGCGGCGCGCCCACTTAAGCTTCTCACGCACGGTCCATGCGCGGCGCTTCCTCATAGTGTCTTTGTTGCGAGGGGAAGGCGGGCGGGAGTTGGGATTATGGAGGGTGGGGTCCTTCGACGTGACCTTCTCAGGGAACGTGGGAATCGGGCCCGCCACCGCCGCGTACTCATCGTCGCTGGCCAACGTCTCGTTCACGACGATGTCGTCAGGATTCGGCGCCTTCTTCGCCTTCTTCTTAGCCGCACCCTTGCTGGATCTCGGGTCTCCGTCGGATGTCCGCTTCTTGTTGCTTGTGCGGCGACGAGCAGGGGCCTTAGCAGGGGCTTCCACGACCTTGGCTTTTCCCTTCTCCGCAGCGGTGAGTATCGGGCGACGCTCCTCCCCCGGACTGTCGTCGTCAAAGAGCACCACGCGGGCCTGCTTCGACTTGGAGAGTAGGCGATGGCGCAGCCTCCGCTTGAGTAGCGGAACGTCTTCGTCGGTCCCAAGGCTCCATGGGTCGTCGTCGCCGCCTTCACCGTTAAATAAGACGGCATCCGCAGCAACCTTGTCGGACTCCGCCACAGCATCCGCAGGCGCAACTGTCTCGAGTTCCGCCCCCACATCGTCGTCAGCCTCCTCATTCGCATCCACTGCCGCTGCCTCGTCGTTGTCACCATCCGCATTTTCACCTCCCCCGTTGTTCGAATCACCAGCCCGCCACTCTTCTACCTCGTCGTCGCTCCCAACCGGCCGATTCCACCATTCGTCCTCCTCGATGCCGGCAGGACCTAATTCGTCGCCCGAAGCGCTGTCGTCGTGGCCGTTCTCCGGCCAATCCTCCTCGGCGCCGTCGCCATTCGCTTCGTCTTCGTCGTTCCCGTCACACCTCGCGCCGGAGGCGGCGGTAGGACTTCCCGCCTTGCTCGCGTTTTTCGCCATGGCTACACGGATATCATCGCTGGGCGAGTTAATTCGCCCGTAGTTATTCACCTGCACGTAAGGACGAGGATAGGCAGAGCCTACGGGTACTTCCGGAATCTCACAGCAGAGCCTACGGCTACGCATGGTTAGTAAGCCTGCCGAGAGCAAGGTTGAGACGAGTATTCAACCTCCTTGAGCACCAAATGAAGTGAGAGCCCGACTACCCCCCCCAGCCAGAGTGCCCCATCCACAGGTGCCGAGCCGCTCCTCTACGAGGCATCTCCTCGTAGAGGACAGCCCTCACGCTGCCAACGTGTTGCCAGCAGCGTTCTGGAAGCATCCCTGCGCTGCTGGCAGCAAAACGACGCTGACAACATCATTAGATGCTGCCAGCACAGAGGAATGTTGCCAGCGGTGGCAGCTTTGCTGCATCCCTCACGTGGCAAGTGTGGGCGCTACATGCATCACCACCGAGGTCGGCCTGTTTTAACGAATTTGGTCTCTGGGTAATTTCTGCACAATTCGCAAGTGTTACAGTCAACTTTTTTTTTTCCATTTATAAGACACCCTAAACCATCCCGTTTACATGATAACTCAAGCATTTTTGCCCGTGTACGAGTTAAGACATATATGTCTTATATCCGGGCGATGACGGTAAGGAGATGACCACAATTTGTTCTTGACTACCGTATATGATTTCTGGTTTGTTTCTTGATCCTACACCACGCTTGAACTTAACAAAGAAAATGCTTGTACAGGCAACCAACGTGGCATGCTGAGGGAACGTTATCCACGTCACCACATCCTCACCCTCGATTTCACTTACTTCGCGAACCTTCGCGAAATAGTCACTCTGCTGTACCTTCGATGTTCTGGATTCGCCAATTGCAGACTCGGGAACCTGGAGCCTGTCAGTTACATGACTGGCTGCGGGTAACCCTCTTTCTTCGTTAGTAGTCGAGAAACTAAAGGAACATCCTTGACTGTACTGCAGCCTCCTTTCCCAACTCACTTCCCATCACACCCCATCCCCGCCACAGCAGCAACGATCAGTTCCCAAGGTAAAACGACCCTACTGATATTGTGGACACCCTCCAGAGAAGATTCTTGGTTGACTTTTACCATGGCTGCCTTTGTGAGCTCTCTCGCGCTCTCCGCCTCCGCGGCTCCCCGCGCTGCCGTCCGCTGCTCCGCTGCGGAACCCGCTCCGTCCAGCCAGGCCGCTCCCGCTCAGGTCCGCGTAGCGTCGTCGGGCCTTCCGTCCTTCGCGAGGGTGTCGGCGGAGAATGCTGCGACGGCGATTGACCCGTCTGCGACGTTCGCGAACGTGATGTGGGCGAAGACGTACAACACGCAGATTCTGGTGGGCGAGAGCGAGAGCACGGAATCGGTCGTGCGACGGTTTAAGAAGATTTGCATGGAGGCGAACATCGTGAACGAGTGTCGCAGGCGACGCTTCTTCGAGACGCAGCAGGACATCGTCAAGCGCAAGCAGAAGGACGCCGCCAGGCAACGCAAGCGATTCTCGTGAGTCTCCCGTGGCTACCCTATCATTGTCCTTTCTGTGTCTGTTTTCCTTTAGCGCAACTATGGCGTTAAGAGACAGCTTTATCGTTCACTAAATAAAAATTAGCGACAATGCAGCCATTCTCTTCGCGTCCGAGACGGCTCGCGGCGGAAAAGTCAGGGTTTATGCTTCCGTCGGACGGAACACGAGAGCGGCTTATCTGCGACGCAAGTTAGGGTTTTGCGCGCATAGAAACGCCAACGGGGAATCGTGGGATGGAGGTTAGTCTGGGCGGCACACATGGCGCGCGAGTGCGGCTTCGACGTCGTTGTAGGCGTTACGCGAGCAGGAATGGGTAGCACGTGGGCGGCACTTGGGCGGCACTCGATGGGACATGACGTCGCTCGTAAATCGCAAAGGAGGCCACGACCAGACTGATTAGATTCGTCAAGTAGTCAGGGTAGGGTGGAGTGGAAGTGGAATCGTGGAGTAAATGCATTCGATCAACTGTAGCAGAGCCTCTCGCGCATCCAACGGCTGTAGCAGAGCAGCAGCAGTTGCAGGAGGGAGTCGAGTAGAAAAATCTTATCGACGCCGCAAAGATCGTCTCATCACACGCGGATGAGGAGTAGCAGCAGAGGCAGCAGCGGCTGGCGTCGTAGGTAGGAGGCTTCCGGCAGTGGCGCAGCTGATTTTAGCGCTATCGGAAACTTATAAAACTGACACAAGAATAGGGACTGTAGCGATGTGTCATGTACAACGCGGTATCGGTCCGTAGCAGCATCCCACCAGTTGCATTACCTGAACGAGACATGTGCGACCGGCTGCGCGTTGCCGGAAAGGCTGTCTTCGTCGCCTTACTGCTGCTCCTCAACTTGCCCCACCTTCTCCTTCGTCTCTAGCCTTATCTCCCGGTCTTCCCCTTGTGCTCCCCGCGTCCCATCCGCCTTCTCTCCAGTTCTGCTCTTTCCGCCACACCTGTCACATATACGCGTTACTAAACTCTGTCCATTTTGTTGCTATAACTTTTGCGTTTACACCCGATTGCACCCGTGCCCTTGCAGGCGCCAGCCTAGCAGCAGTTGAGCAACATGGCATATCATTCCATATCATAACATCATACCTTTCCATACCTCATGTCATGGTCATCTGATGCCATGATGTATGTATTCTGCTGCGCATTGCCCTTCCATGCTTCCTCCAGTCCACGCCACTTCTGCCCCTCACCCTTCGTCTTGCGTTCCTCTTCCAGCAGCCGGGAACGCACCGTTCTTGCCCTGTCGGTTTCATTCATGGCCTTTCTTTCTCGTGCTGCTCCCCACCCGTCCACCCCACAACAGGCGTGCCTCCTCCTGCCTGCGCCCTTTCTTCACGCGTGACCCGGCAGCGGCCAGCAAGGCAGCAGCCAGAGACATGCAATGCCTGACCTCTGCACCTCTCGTGCTCTCTGTCTGCTCTCCACCCTTCCTCCCCTTCACAGGCGTGCCTCCTCCGGCCCGCGTCCCTTCTTCACGCGTGACCCGGCGGCGGCCAGCAAGGCAGCAGCCACCTCCAATGACGATGATGATGACTTCTGGGATGCCAAGGTCGAGCTGTAGAGGGCACCTGTTGTCATTTGTGGGCTTTAACGCTGGATATTACTGTACTGTAGCTGCTTCAAGTTGGCAGTGCGTAACTACAGCACTTTCCACGAAGTTCTGATCTACTTGCTAAGTGCAAAAAACTGGACATGCAAGGAAGGAACAATTGAGAAGGTACCGTTGGTGCGGTAGATTTGGGACGTTTTTATCAGATAGCAAAAAAAGTGGTGAAACTGGCAGATTGTGAAAGTGTAGTATATGGGTTATCATTTCATATGGGTTGTAGTACATCGTTCTCGTCTTATATATGTCTACATAACAGCATACACAAATGGGTGGGCTGGTGGGAAATTAGAACTAAAATTTTGAAAATGAAACGTGGGTGGGGACGAATGTCCCCACGTCCCTCTTTTGTAGGCAAAAGAGGGTGAGTAGCGCTTCGGCGCTACCTTTGTTGTGTTGGCCACGTACCCCTTTTCACAATACAAAATTTTAGAAAGTGTTACATTTCATTACACTTTCAAAAATTATCATGTACCAGTATGCAAGGACACCTTAGAAGAGAGCTGACTGGTGAGTGAGGTTATCCTCAAGCTTCCAAAATTACAGTAAGCTGGGAATCTTGTTGAACAAGCGCCCAGTTCAGTGCCCAAGGCGTAGCTAGCTAGCAATACAACTTTTCTTCAGTTAGGTTAGGGCATGCTACAGTACCATATTAACGATTGCAAGACATCGAAGTAGCAAAAAAGCAAAATCATGTCACGGCTTGCTGAAAGCTTCCAGAATGTTCCGGCGAGCCGAAAGCTTCTCCACCTTGTCAGGCTTGAGGGACTGCCAGAGAATGGAGTGACAGGTTGGGTGGGAATGGGGGGGATGGATGATGCGTGAATTATCTAAATTTGAGGCGTCTCAAAACAAAACTGGTTGGGTGGGAATGGTGGGGATGGTGGGGATGGTCACTGGACACCCCCACCAGTGACCAGCAGGGCCCACGATGTCAGGGCAAAACATCCTGATTACCCTGATTTCAGGATGGTGTTTTAAGTTTGCCCTGAAATTTCAGAATGACGATGAAATTTACCCTGTAACGTCAGGATGATTCATGTGTTTTGCCCTGAAATTTCAGAATGGCAGTGAGATTTTGCCCCGAAGCGTTAGGGTGAATGTAGAGGGATGCCCTGACTCATGGGAAGGGGAAGAAGGGGTGGAGGGGAGGGGGGGAGAGGGGGAGAGGGGAGGAGGGAGGCTCGGGGGTGTGTGTGCTAGTTTTGTCCCCCCCCCCCCAAGGTTTTTGCTCAGCCCATTGTAGTGAAACTACTGAACAACCTGCTCCTCTCGTGGCTTCCCCTCCACTCTAGTGTCTTGTATTTTTTTGCCCTGAAACATCCAGATGAATTTCTGTTGGTGCCCTGAAATTTCAGGATTGCCAGGAAATTTTGCCCTGAAAAACCAGGGCATTTTGGAGAGTTTTCAAAAGTTGCCCTGAGGGCCCAGGGTGCCCTAAATCCTAGCACAGGCCCTGGTGACCAGAACTCATGGTTTGAATAAACGCACTTGGAGAAGTGTACTCACATACTCACACAGGGCACAGCATTTCCCTCCGCACCGTCTCACACACACGCACACCCCACCGCACTGCACCGTACCACATCATGCTCGCAACTCACCCCTGCGAGCAGCTTGGAGAGGCGGGCATGCTCCTTGCTCACATACTCCTCGCCCTGCTCCACAATATTCTTCATCACCTTCTGATAGAACACCCCGTGCCTGGTGCGTGGGGCGGGTGGGGTGGGTGAGGTGGGGTGGGTGGAGAGGAGAGAAAGCAGCACTTTGAGAGCTACGTCACTCACTCCTCGCCCTGCTCCACTATGCTCCTCATCACCTTCTGATAAAACACCCCGTGCCTGGTGGATGAGGAGGCGGCATGAGAGGCATGAAAAAGACAGGCGAGAACCTTCAAAGCTCCTCACATGACCTCTAGAATTCATTCCCCCATTTCCCCCACAAGCTCTCTCCCCGCTCCCTCATCCCCGTCTCTCAAAATCCTCCCCCCTTCTCTCCACACTCTTCCCCTCAGCACTCTCACACCCCTCCAGCTCTCCTCCCTCCTCTCAACATACTTCCATGTCAGGGTCACACCGCTCCCACCGCCCGCACCCTTATGCCCCACCCACTCCTTCCTCCCCTCCTCCCCCCCTGAACTCACTCCTCCATGGCAGGCGCCACCACCATCCCCATCACCCGCACCCCAATGCCCCACTCGCCCGCCATTCCCCCCCTCCTCTACTCCCTGCTTTCCCCCCCAACTCCTCCAGCTCAGGCGCCACCACCATTCCCATCGCATGCTCCCTTATGCCCCACTTGGCCCCTAACCCCGTTCCCACTTCCCCCCACCCACCCATCCTCCCCTCCCTCGCACTAACTCCTCCAGCGCGGGCGCCACCACCACTCCCATTGCGCGCTCCATTGCCCCACTTGTATGAGACACTTCCTCAACCCCCTCCGCCCTACCCGTCCCCCCCCCCCCCCCCCAAGCAATTCACTCCTCCAGCATGGCCGCCACCACCACTCCCATTGCCCTTGTACCCCACTTGCTCCCTAACGCCTTTACCCGCGCCCCCCACCCAAGCAATTCACTCCAGCTCGGGCGCACAACCACTCCCATCGCCACCACCACCACCACCACTCCCATCGCCACCACCACCACCACCACTCCCATCGCCACCACCACCACCACCACTCCCATCGCCACCACCACCACCACCACTCCCATCGCCACCACCACCACTCCCTTCGCCACCACCACCACCACCACTCCCATCGCCACCACCACCACCACTCCTAGGAGTGGTGGTGGCTCCCCCAGCTCGGGCGCACCACCACTCCCATAGCCCTTACGCCCCCACTCCCCCTCTCCCCCGGCCCCCCTCAAGCAACTCACTCCTCCAGCTCGGGCGCCACCACCACTCCCATCGCCCGCTCCATCAACCCCTGCTTCTCCGCCTCCGGCGCTTCCACGAAGCTTCCCGCCATCGCGTCCAGCTCAGCAATGCGGCCCACCTGCACGGGGGGTGGGGGGGAGAAGGGGGGGTGAGGGGGCGGAGGGGGAAAGATTGGGGAAAAGGGGAAGGGGAGAGATGGGGGAGGGTCAGAATAGACCTAGGGTGCCCGCAGTGCCTTGGGAAGGGAAACCACAGGAGGTCAGTCCAGTTTTTTTTATAGTTCTAAAAAAAGCAGGTTTTGAGAATTAATTTTTTAATTAATAAGAAAAAAAACAAAGGTGAGCTTGGTGTCAGAACAGAGGTTGATGAAATACACGAGATTCGTGAGGGTGGGCAGGGGGGTTGCTTGCGCTTGAAGGGGAGAGTGACGTACCCTCACTTTACCTGTACCATACCTGAGAAGACCACAGTGACAGTGGCTTATCAAGGGAGACGCCTTAGGAGGATTGTGTGGTGCCGGCCCAGTGATTGACGAAATGCACGAGGTGCACAAAAGCGGCCAGGGGTTCCCTGGTAGGTCTAGGTAGGGAGTGCCGTACCTCATTGTACCGTACCTTATCAAGGGGAACACCATAGGAGGACTGTGTGTTGCCGGTCCATTGGTTGACGAAGTGTACGAGATCAACAAGGGTGGGCAGGGGTTCCCCCTTGGCGATCAACGAGGGAAGAGTGCTATCTCAATGCACCGCACTGTACCATACGGGAACACCATAGGAGGACTGTGTGGTGCCGGTCCATTGATTGACGAAGTGCACGAGGTCAACGAGCGTGGGCAGGGGGTCCCCCTTGAGGTCCCACGAGGGGAGTGTGTCGACCCCTCATTGCACCACACCGTATTGTACCGCACTAAACCACACCTTATCCAGAGGCACCCCAGAGGCGGACTGTGTGGTGCCGGTCCACTGGTTGACGAAGTGCACGAGATCCGTGAGCGTGGGCAGCGGGTCGCCCTTGAGGTCCTCGCCATACTTGTTTGTCTTGGTGAAGAACTTGAAAAACGGATACTCTGTGATCTTGAACCTGGAGGGGGGGAAGAGGGGGAAGAGGGGGAAGAGGGGGAAGAGGGGGAAGAGGGGGAGGAGCACAGGGAGGAGAGGGACAGGCGGGCAGGCGGGCAGGCAGGGAGGGCATGGGGGGAGGTGACGCGGATCACCTTTGAGGTCCTCCCCGTACTTGTTGGTCCTCCCCGTACTTGTTGGTCCTCCCCGTACTTGTTGGTCCTCGTAAAGAACTTGAAGAATGGATATTCTTTGATCTTCAACCTGGGGGGAGGAACACGGCAGGGGTCGGAGGGCAGGGGGGCAGTGGGGCAGGAAAGCAGAGGGGAAGGGTGGGAAGTGTGGCAGGGGAACGCATGGGGAGGGGGAACGCAGTGGGAGGGGGAACGCATGGGGAGGGGGAACGCATGGGGAGGGGGAACGCATGGGGAGGGGGAACGCATGGGGAGGGGGAACGCATGGGGAGGGGGAACGCATGGGGAGGGGGAACGCAGTGGGAGGGGGAACACAGTGGGAGGGGGAACACAGTGTGCCACACCTGCCACATCAGCATTGCGCACCTGCCACATCAGCACGCCCCACATGCCACATCAGCACGCCCCACCTGCCACGTCATCACGCCCCACCTGTGCGCGAGCATGCCATTGTTGTCGGCATCCACCTTGGCGAACACAATGCTCTGCTCGCCCTTGAAGATGTTTGCTAGCTTCTCCACGGTCTGGTGTGCACACACACACGGGGGAGAACGGGTGGAGGCAGGGCGGAATGGGGGCAGCATGGCGTTGCTGTCTATCAGCATCCGCTCTCCTCGTCATCAGAAGTGACGGGTGAGATGAAACGACGGGTGAGATGAAACGACGGGTGAGTCAAAACGAAGGGCGAGACGAAACGACGGGTGAGATGAAACAACGGGTGAGTGACGTGAAATGACAGTTTACCTTGGTCATCTCCTTGCAAGGCTTACACCTGGGATGAGGGAGAGAGGGGAGTGGAAGAGAGGGGAGTGGGAGAGGAGGGAGAGGCAGGAATGGGGATGGTTAGGCAAGGAGGAAATCAGGAAGAGAAAAGCGCGAACGCATGTAAACGAGTGTGTGGGTGCGAGTGCGTGTTTGTAATTGCACCATTGGCCTGGAAAGCAGCGTGATGAAAAACGTATCTCAGCTCACTTCCTCACTCACTCCCTCAATTACTCACTCACTCCCTCACACACTCACTCACTCCCTGACTCACTCACTCCCTCACACACTCACTCACTCCCTGACTCACTCACTCACTCTTGATCCTCCCTTCTTGAATAAGCTCACCCAGCATCGTAGTAACCCCGTTCCGTTCGTCTCATTCAAGAAAGTGCGCGCGCGAAGCAAAGAGGTGATTCATTCCAACCCGCATGCCCCGGGGTTGAGTAACCATCTGACAACCCCTCTTGGCCTCACTCGCACCAACTACCACCACTCACGCAGCGTCATAGTAGTAGGTGAAGAGGTGCTTCGTGTCGTCCAGCATGACCACTCACTCATTCATTCACTCCCTCACTCATTCATTCACTCACTCACTCATTCATTCACTCACTCACTCATCATCCACTCCCTCACTCATCATCCACTCCCTCACTCACTCATTCATTCACTCACTCACTCATTCATTCACTCACTCACTCATCATCCACTCCCTCACTCATCATCCACTCCCTCACTCATCATCCACTCCCTCACTCATCATCCCTCCCTCACTCATCATCCCTCCCTCACTCATCATCCACTCCCTCACTCATCATCCACTCCCTCACTCATCATCCACTCCCTCACTCATCATCCACTCCCTCACTCATCATCCACTCTCTCACTCATCATCCACTCCCTCACTCATCATTCACTCCCTCACTCATCATCCACTCCCTCACTCATCATCCACTCCCTCACTCATCATCCACTCCCTCATTCATCATCCACTCCCTCACTCATCATCCACTCCCTCACTCATCATCCACTCCCTCACTCATCATCCACTCCCTCACTCATCATCCACTCCCTCTTGCCTCCACTCACGCAGCATCGTAGTAGTAGGTGAAGAGGTGCTTGGTGTCGTCCAGCATGACCGAGGGGAACCAGTCACAGCCACACACTCTTAATGCAATCCCTTGACAGCACTCACAATAAACACCTCCACTCACTCACACCAACTACCACCACTCACGCAGCATCATAGTAGTAGGTGAAGAGGTGCTTGGTGTCGTCCAGCATGACCGAGGGGAACGCCCACGTGGTCAGCTCCATCACCCGCGACTCCTGCTCCGTCTCCACCCTGCCCTTGGTGCCTGGTGGATGGGGGAGAGGAGAGAGGACAGGGGGCAGAGGAGACAGACGATCCAATGGGGACAGGCCGTGCCTTTTGAGTTGGGAGGACACACCCCACGTGGTCAGCTCCATTACTCGTGACTCCTGCTCTGATTCCACCCTGCCCTTGGTGCCTGCATGCAGGGACGGGATCGCGGGAAAGGGAGAAGGAGAGGAGAGGAGCACGTGGAGCAAGGGGCCTGTGAGTCTATACGCGCCCACGTGGAGCGAGGGGCCTGTGAGTCTATACGCGCCCACGTGGAGCGAGGGGCCTGTGAGTCTATACGCGCCCACGTGGAGCGAGGGGCCTGTGAGTCTATACGCGCCCACGTGGAGCGAGGGGCCTGTGAGTCTATATGCGCCCACGTGGTGAGCTCCATAACTCGCGACTCCTGCTCTGATTCCACCCTGCCCTTGGTGCCTGCATGGAAGGAAACGGGAGGGGGATATGCACGGGAGAGGGAGGCGGAGGAGGGGGAAGGGGAGGGGGAAGGGGAGAGGGTCCAGTAGGGAGGAGTTTCAGGCAGCGAAGGGAGTGGAGGTTGGGGAAGAAACGCGTCAATTACATTGGTATGTATGACTTTTGAGAATTCTCAAAAGTCATACCACACATCTTTTTTTGTCGGTTGTATGTTAGAACCACACATCCCGCACTGCCCACTCGCCAGGCAATGCGCCTCAAACTACAGCACAACTCCCCAAACCCACTCGCCAAGCCTGCCGCCCACTCGCCCAATCCTGCCGCCCACCACTCACCAAGCCTGCCACCCACTCACCGAGTCGACTGTTGATAAAATCCACGAAAACATTGGCCTTCCTGTCCCCTCCATAGCTGGCATGTCGTGGCATGGGATGACGTAGCGTGGGGTGACGTGGCACAGTGTGGAATGGCATGGGCGCAAGGCAAGAGGATAGGGGGATGGATAAGCTCCACGTGGATGAGTGATGTGTATGCTGGGTTAGGAGAGAGGGGGAGTGGCGGATAGAGAATGAGTTGCCAAGCATATAGCACAGCACCACACAGCACCGCACAGCACCCACGCTGCCCCCTCCTTGGGCAGCAGCAGAGAAGCATATGAGCGTGGTGTAGCCTTTTGTGAATCGACTCAACTGATTGCATAGTACTTAGGTTAACATCTATTGGTGGCACACCCTATCACACCCCATCACACCCCATCACACCCCATCACACCCCAGAACCTCTCAGCACACCCCAACACTAACTCCACTCCCCCCTAGCAGAGGGGAACCACTTGCACGTGGGGATAGTCTTACAATTAATTCCCCACGCACGCACACGCGACTTACTGGCACGGCACAGCTCAGTACCGCACAGCACCACACATCACTCACTCTTCCGCTCCCCCCTGGCCAGCAGCGGGGAACCACTTGAGCGTGGGGTATCCGCGGACCTCGTGATTGGTGCACAGCTCCGCGTGCGCCTGGCAGTCCACCTGCGCGCGCACAATGGGGGGAGGCGGGGAGGGGAAAAGGCGGAGGTGGGTGAGGGGAAAAGGCGGAGGTGGGTGAGGGGAAAAGGCGGAGGTGGGTGAGGGGAAAAGGCGGAAGTGTGAAGGGGGATCAATCAGGCGCCTTTAAACGCACAGCTCCGCGTGCGCCTGGCAGTCCACCTGCGTGGATGGCAGGGGGAACGCGGGAGGGGGTTAAGGGGAGGCGGAAGGGGAACGGACGGAGGGGGAGGATAAAGGGGGGAACGCGAAAGCGGGGATTCGTGAGGCGCCTTCAACCTTGGCGACGCGATGCGACCCACCTTGGCGACGCAATGCGACGCACCTTGGCGACGCAATGCGACCCACCTTGGCGACGCAATGCGACGCACCTTGGCGATGAATTGCGACGCAGCTTGGCGACGCAATGCGACGCACCCTGGTGACGCAATGCGACACATCTTGGCGACGCGACACGACGCACCTAGCGACGCGATGCGACGCACCTTGGCGATGCGGATGGCGTCGGAGTCTTTGAATGCCGTCGCCACCTTCTCCCAATCCGGCGCCAGGCGCTGGCAGTGCCCGCACCTGCGAAAACAGGGTTGCGCGAAATGCGAATTCGAGTTGCGAAGAAGCGGGAACGCGAGTTAACAAAGGTGTCGAGTTAGTAACACGAACGACGATATCCGTGTAGCTTGTTATCATTGGGTTGAAGCAATTGCCAGGGTTAAACCGGAGGGCCAAGAAGGCCCAAATTGCCTCAACCTTCCTAACCTTGGTTGAGTTTGGCCCTCGCACCCAAAATCTTGGCCATTTACGTTCTTGGCCCGCGGGTCCGCAAGCCCAGCCAATGGCTTGGATGACCACTTGGGATGGAAATGCAGGTGGGATGCACTGGTTACCACTGCACTATAACATCGACCTGCTAAGAATTCGCAGCGATCCGCTAACAGAAACGAGACCGGGGATAACGTCATCATGAGATACAGCACGCATTATCACGGGCGGGACGCGCCAGGGAGCGTAGAACTTCACGAATGTGACCGAGTCGCCTCCCACGTGATCGTAGAAGTTCGCCGGCGTGAGCTCCAGCACGTCCGAGTTCTCCGCGCCGTCCGCCGCCGATCGCGGCACTGCGAGCAGCAATGCTGTCAGCAGAACAAGCGCGGCAATCGCGATAGGCGGAGATCCGGTGACGAGTCGCGGGCTGTCCATTATGATCGAGGACTCGACGGAAACTGTCACGCACGGCAGCGCGGCGGCTTCTACATAAATATTCCGGAACAAGACTGGGACAGAGGAAAAGACTTCACCGCCTTCACTCCTGTGAGGATGATGAGGAGAACTGTGGAACTGTCAGTCAAGTTCAGCAGCAGTATCGTACTCAACACTCCACTGCCTCCACCCCAAGCTACAGAGGAGCAGTCTTTTTGTCGTAATCACTCGGGGAGGTGAAAGCTGGATACACCGGACGGTTTATATCTCTTGTTCCGTTTTGAATCGAAGTGAGTATCCTCTTTATAACATCGGTAACAGGGCTGTCGCTTGCAGGGCGTTTGCCCTGCTGGACCTTGAATTCCAGGGCTGGGTTGCCCTTGAAAACTGAAATTGATGGGTTGGAAATATTCTGGCCCTGATTCTTTACAGGGCTGATTTCGGGCTCAGGCTTGGTGTGTAAAGAGCAGAATTTAGGCGAGCCCTGGAACAAAATCTCTCGAGACCCCCCTTCCACTCCCCTCCCCCCCCCAACACTCCTCCCTCTCCTTCCCCTTCGTTTCTAACCTGATTGCATCCAACAAGGCAATTTCGAGTTGCTTGGTTGGGCCACAAATTCAACTCAGCCTAGAACTTGTGCTTAAACCAATCACAGCTCGCTCTCTGTGGAGTGGGTGACGGTTAAGGTTGGGTAGAAGCGCACAAGAACTACCCTGAAGGTTGGGTAGTAAAGATGTGCAGACGATCATCGGTTCTGCAAAGGCTAGGAAGCCTGCAAAGCGTGCGTAGTGATATGACGCTAACTATTTCTCTTCTTGTCGTGTTTGCTTGCTTGTCGTTGATCTCAAACGTAGTTGTAAGCTTGGTAATTGAAATGAGGCTCCTGATTTTTTCGCGCCAAACCTGAATCAAGGGAGGAAAAATTTCTAGCCCTGAAGCCTAAGGGCTGAGATTCGCCCCAGCCCTGCTAAATACAGGGTCATACATGCCGGGCCCCCTGATTTGTCCGGGGGGCCCAAAACGAAACAACAGGCCTGATCGGTAACCTCGAAACCTGTCCACAAGACCAAGTTGTGGGACTTCAAGAGGAAATTCAGGACGAGTCCCGATCGAGACGCGTGCTGATGCTTACCTCTCCGCTAATGGCTGGAAGCAGCCGGACTTCTAGAAGCCGCATTTGCAAATGGAAGTTGAAACAGTGATAGCTTACACTCAGTACGTTTATTGTGTACAGCTTGATACAAGATTTTCAGGGGGTCCGAGAAATAGGTTCTTTGACTATTCATAATAATAACAAACCCCAGGGGCTGTTAGTGGGATGAAAATATTAAGGAACTAAAGCTTTTTGCCACTGTGAAAGCTATATAATAACTGAAAGCGAACGACTAGCACTAGCCTGATCAGATAATATCTATTTTCAACACTAAAACATAGCGTTTGAACAATTCATACACTATAACAAAACAGGATCTTCTAAACCAATGTTTTAAATTCTCAATATCTGATCCACAGTTGACGAGCTGACCAGTGGAAGGGAGACTATCCATAAAGAATGAAATGCTTGTCACGAGTTATGATGGGTTTGGAATGTCGGTCTCTATGATGGGTTTGTTGACGGCTGCCGTTGACGACACCCTGCTTCTCATGTCATTGGATGCGATGCGTGTGTTCTGTCGACGCATGCGATGATGCGATACCCGAAGGGCATGCGACTGCGGGTAACGGATGCGAAAACGGGAGTGGGAAAGGTGGTTTTAGGTGCTGATGGATGGCCAAATATTCGTGCGGCTTCGCACGATCGACGCGCGGTAAGCGCGGGAACACGAATACCGCGGTTGTGAAAAATCGGCTGCGGCGAAAATTGAAATTTGAGGGGGCGGCTCGGCTTTCAATTTGCGCCTTTCCACTCCGAGAGAAATTTCGACGCCAATTTCAACGCCCCCCAACCAACATTTCGATTTTCACCAGGCAGATTGGTCAGCAGGCACCTCCGGGTCGAGGCACCAGTGGAGCTGGGCAGCAGGTGGGGCAGCAGCGCAGCAACAAAAATCGATTTGACTCGACTCGACTCGGCTGAGGGTTTCCCATCCAAACGAAAATCCATCCAACGGGCGGATGGAAACGAGATTTGTAGGGCGGGCCGCCTAAAGGTGGGGCTGGGCGTCAAAGACTTACCAACTCAAAACCAGTTCGAGGTTTCGTCACGAAACGGAGGTGCGTAGATGGCGGTGGGAGCTCGTAGAAGCATAAGCTGATTATCCGATAGCGCCGACACTTCCGCTTAGTTGCGTGAGACGAGGCAGATGTACGTCCGTCCGTAGAACGTTATCGTAGCTGCAGTCTCCCCTCCTTGTGACCAGGCCGCCATAGCTCCCAACACGGCTAATCCCAGTAACGCCATTTCGTTAACGGCCAGCAGTTGCCGGCACCTACCGACAGCGTTAGTTTCCATAGTTGTTAGTACTAAAACTATTTAAAAAAAAACTTCACTGCCGATCCACGAGCCACGGCAATAGCGATATTCAGACGAGATAACATTCATCCATGGCGCAACTTGCCATGCTTCCGCTAATGGAGGAATCACCCGTGGCCGACGATAACGGCGGATATAGCGGCGGATATAACGGCGGCATGTTCGCTCAGCAGACAAGCCCCGCGCCTCCCTTATGGACCTCCCTAGACGCCATGCACGGGCTGGACCACGAAGCTTCTGAGTTCCTTCCACTGGACGTATCCGACGGAGACGAATCGCAGCAGCAGCAGCAACAGTCGGACTACACCCACCACCACAGTCACCAGCCGTCGGATCATCTCAACGTACGGCGAGATCTTCTCGAAGACGATAACTTCGGCAGCAGCGAGTTCGACCCGTCGTCAGCGGCGAGCGGAGCGGGGGAGTGTGTGATGCTGTACCAGGACGCGCAGAGGGGGGAGGAGGAGGACATGGTGGGGAGCCTTAACCTCCGCATCTCCCCGCAACCCGATGCGTCCGATCTCACATCGGCGCTTTTCTCCGAAGGCCAGGCGAGCAACAACGGCGGCGGTGCGACGCTCGGCGGGTCATCGTGGCAGCTGTGCGACAATCTGTTCGCAGAGCCGATCGTCGACTGCGGCGAGCTGCTCTCCGGCGACGGCGATGGCGACGATCTGCTCGCGGCGTCCGCGGGGCACGACGAGGCGGAGCAGGCGGACGGCGGAAGCGGCGGAGAAGAAATGGAGATGAGAGACCCAGCCGCCGCGTATCTCACGCCGGAAAAGGCACCGCAGATGCCGACGACTTCGGACCCGGCGGAGGTGGCAACGCCGGGGTGTGACAATAGCGAGGGCGATTTCAGCACGCCGCAGGTACCAAGCGCGGGTTTCTCCCGCCCGCGCAGCCGCTGCCCGACGGAGCGGGGACTGGCGCAAAAGGGCGCGCTCATGACCCCGTCCGGCGGAGCAACGGCGCGCTCAACCCGCGAGAACCTGATGCGGCGGCTGGGGCAGGCGGGCGGAGCGGCGGAGCCGTGGACCCCCGTAACCCCCGCGAAGGACGAGGCGGGGAAGCGGTCCCCCGACCAGCTTGCGCGCGTGGCGGTGTCGCTGGATGCGGAACTCGGTCTGTTCGCGGACTCCCCGCCGCTGCTGTGGAACGGAATGGCGCAGCAGCAGCCGCCCCAGACGCAAGGGCAATGCTTCCAGATGCCCCAGCACCAACAACAGCAGCAGCAGCAGCAAGTGGCGTTCAGCAACGGACGAATGCTCGAAGCGTCGAGTTCTCGGACCATGCCTGCCGGCGCCGTGCAGAGCATGCTCGGCGCGCAGCAGCAGCAGCAGCAGTACGGGGTGGCGAGTCAACAGCAACAGCAGCAGGGCTTGGCGGGGCAGCACGGGTTCTGTGCGACGCCCGGGGAAGGCGCGCACATGCGCGCGGACCCCGCGGAGGCGTCCGACATGTCGCTCTTCTTCGATATGGAGCAGCAGCAACAACAGCCCCTGCCGTCGCCGCCGCAGCTCCAGCAGCCGCAGCAGTCCCAACAGCAGTACCACCAGCAGCACTACCAGCAGCAGCAGCAGCAGCAGCAGCCACAGCAGCAGTACCAGCAGCAGCATCAGAGCCGGGGGTATCAGCAGATGCAGCAGCAGCAGGAGTCGGACGTGGTGCGTGATTTCCTCTCCTCGTCTCCAGACGGCGATGCTGCTCTCGACAGCTTGGTTCTTGACGGCCTGCCGTGCGACAGACGGCTGTCCGGCCAGATGATGCTGCCCAAGGATCTCGCATCGTTGATGAACGACGCTGACGTGGACGCGTCTGCCGCCACGTGGCCGCAGCCAAGCAACAACAACGCTGTGTCACCTCCCCTAAGTAACGGCTACAACACCGGTGCTGGTACCCTCAGTATGGATGCAGCAGCAGCTGCTCCTACTGCTACTACTGCCTCGGCCGGAGCCTGCGTGACTCGCCCGCCGTCGGTTTATCCTGCTGCCCCCTCCTCCTCCTACCAATCCTCCCATCTCCTCACCGCCTCCTCCTCCGGCCCTCTGCTCGGCTCCTCCTCCGCCGGACCTCCCCCGCCTCCGCGCGTTCTCTCCGCGCCTGCGCCGTCCGCGTCGTCCGCGCAATCCGCCGCGCCCTTGCGCCTGACGATGCCGCTCCTGGTGATGAACAGACGCGCGCCCGTGCCCCCTGCCGCGCAGGTGGGTGGCGGTGCTTCCGCCCCTTCAATGTTGCAGCAGCAGCCGCAGCAGCAGCAGCAGCAGCCGAAGGCGATTCACTTGAGCTGTTCGTCCTCCCAGCAGCTGCACCTGCAGCAGCCGCAGCAGCAGGCGCCACCCATGCATCAGCACCAGCAACGACAGCCGCAGCCATACCAACCTCAGCAGGGCCAGCAGCCACCGCAGCAACAGTTCCAGCAACAGCAACACCTTCAGCAGCAGCATCAGCAGCAGCATCAGCAGCAGCTTGCCCATCCTCCCCAGTACCAAATGCTTCCGCAAGCCAACCACCAGGCCACCTCCTC